GCAGCTTCCAACTGTTGCCACTGTGCCCCGTCGAGCTCATTGGTGATAACACCTCGTCCCTCAGGTGACGAGAAGTCAGGAAACGGACATGGGGTCCGCAAGTCGCGAGCAGGGCTCATCTCACGCCGCTGGCGCAGCTCGCCTTCCTCGTCATCCCATGCGGGAAAGGAGTGTCAGACTCGTAGTCGACCACCATCACATCCACAACGAGGTCACTCGTCACTGATAGCGCGCGCAGGCGATTCGGTCGAAGTGGTCATTGTACGACCAATCGAGGAGATAAACGCGTCATCGCTTCTGGATGAAGTTATCTTGGAGGACACCAAAAGAGTCCTAAACGCACGAAGTGGATCGTCAATCCTGAAGAATTCCTCAGATCCGTACTATCCTTTGGTAAAGAAATATCATGACGTCGTCTCCAAAGACCCGCCTTCGGTCCAACCTCCGGATCGAGGTGTGCGTCATGAGATCGACCTGGTTCCGGGGACCAAGTACTGCGTAACACGTCAATGGCCCCTGCCCAAGGAGCAGAGCGACATCATTGACGCATTTTTCCGTGCGAAGCACGACGCAGGGATGGTACGTGAGAGCAAGGCTCCCCATTTGTCACCCACGTTATGTGTTCGGAAGCCGAACGGCAAGTGGCGTATCGCTCATGCGTACAAAAAGCTCAACACGGCCACCATTCCGGCACAGACGCCGATGTCTTGAAAGGATGTTTATCAGAACGACATGGTGGGATGTACGAAGTACAGTGCAGTCGACTTGGTAGATGAGCATTACCAATTGCTGATGAGAGCGAGTGATATTCCGCTGACAGCATGCTCTGGGAGTGGCTGGCGATGCCCCAAGGGCTGTCAAGTGCACCAACAACATTAAAAAAATCGTCTTATAACACAGTTGTTCAGGGCCCACAGGGCGTATGCACAGACATACTTTGACGACATTCTCATTCACAATCGTGCGAAGCACGGGAGGACGGATGAGGAGAACCACATCGTCCATTTAAGAGCGGTGCTCGAGTG